GTGGTTATCGTGAGATGTTCTTGCGTCGGGGTGCTAACACCATTGTATTCAACAAAATTCATGTTACATGACACCCCGTTTGGTAAAACTGGGGATGGCATTGATCACATGCCCAGGATCAATATCAGTAACCAAATCACACATTGCTTGTGGAACCCTATGAATTAGGAATCACAAACAGCAGTTTAGATTTTCGAGAAGGGTGACTATAATATACCCGGCAGCGTAGCGGACATTCCTGTTTTCAAGGACTCTGCATTACTGGAAAGGTTACACAACGGGAACATAGCCCCATACTAGACTGTTGGGGATGCGGCATACCCGCTCAGAGAATACTGACTAACCCCATTACATGCACCGCGACCCTTGGTGGACACAGGTGCCATAGCGGATCACAAGTGGGAACCGTGTGTTCCACCATTACAGCAGGCTCTGAGAGAGCGACGGAAAAGTCTGTGTGAAGCTCTACAAGATTCTTCCGCTAATCGTTGGCGCCGCGCACCCATATATCCACATCGTCAGCACCCGGACTGACGGTGTGGACGTCGCCAGCATCGTCGCGATGCTGGGCGGCTTCGGGAGCTGGCGCGGACTCCACGCGTGGGGGAGGAGGGTTGTAATCCGGCGGCGCACGGTGCACGTTCGGGGGAGCCGATTCAATCATGCGTTCGCGGGCAAGGCGCATGTCCTGTGCCATCCATTCCCGGACGAGGCTCTCGATGCGCGTCATCGCGTCCCAGTGACATTCCTTGATGGTCGCGCAGACAAGATTGGCGGCTTGCATAGTAGCAGTCTCATTAACCCGCGCGCGCTTGGGTGTTGCAGTGGTCTGCGGCGGCGATGCTGTGACAGAAGTGCATTAAAGAACGCAAGGTAGATTAGTGTGTTTACGGTTGCATGTTGTTTCCGCAACATATAAGGTTCACAAAAGCTTTGCCGTTTGTAAACATCCATGAAATGAATGCAGAACGCACATGCTGTAAAAGAAGAACAACTGACATGTAAAGGTCGGTGTAGACGTGCCGGGCTGAGATGAACTTGGAACCTCTATGCCGGCCGGCACGATGACGTTTGTGTCGCGGCCGCCGTCCACCGCATGCGGTGCGGCTGCGGCTGTGTCCTTGTTGTACAGCTCCAAATACGGCCACCACGGTGGTTTCCCCACAGAACAGTGGCCCGAACCACCAACGCCACGCTTGTACTCCCGCCAAAGCAGCATCAAGTTGTGCCACTGCTTCTGCAACGCATTGACATTCCTGCACCAACCCGGGTTCGACTCCTTGATGTGCGCGAGAAGGTGGACCCAGTATTGCGTCCCCTCCTTCCCCTTTAGAGGCTCTAGCTCGTCTTTGGTGAACCAACGCGCCGCGGCGAAGATAGTGCTTTCCTTGTCCGACCATAAGCCCCTCTTGACTGGTGCTGCCGACCGCTTCTTTCGGGGTTCCTGGCGTGGCACTCGTGCAACCACCTTGCCTTTGCCTTTGTCAGTCCCGGATGCGCGTGCGGCGCTCCATTTCGGCGGCTTTGCCACAGGTTGTGCTTCGTCCTCCGCGTCGTCCTCGGCGTCTTCATCGTCGCCGTCGTCGTCGTCCGACATCCCAAGGTCTTCCGGCTCGTCCTCCTCGTCTTCGGTGTTGTGGGCGTCGCCGTGGTAATCCTCATCATTGTCGTCGACATCTTGCTCCACGACGGGCCGCACTGTTGCCGCCGTCCTTGCAGGCTGACGGCGCACACGTGACGGCACCGCGCTGGGCGACTGTGCACTAGATCCCTGGCCGTCAAGCGAGAGCGTCGCCGATAAGCCAGTCGGATGGCGGCCGTTGGCGATCTGCTGGTTCATCCAGCGGATGTAAGGGATGTCATTAACATCCTTGGGGCAGTCGTTAAGGGATTGGCCCTTACACTTACGAGCCATGCTGGCGGCGTGGGTGGTTCTAGATCTAGATCTGAAGGGACCCAGAGTGCAAAGAGAAAAGTATAAATTCGAACAGGATAGATGGTGCAGCAAGACGAGCCCGTAAGGTGTTGGGAGTTGAAGGTGTTGCGGGGAAAGAGCAATTGAACCTGGGGGGAAGGAGCGCAGGCGGGACTTGCGTGGCCCTGTCAATAATTCCGTGGGAGTCGTTTCTACCAATCACGCTGGCGTGCAATTAGCTGGCAACTGCTCCATATTTCACGTCACCCAATGATAATTACGATCATTAACAACCAGGTGCAGACCTGGCTTTCCGACACCTGGCAGCATATGTTGTACGTACGCGTCACAATAGATTCGGACACTTTCTTTGAGTCAGTGTCCGAAACGAAATGTACCCTTAATACTAACACCATGCCATGTACGGTACGAATGTACAACATTCATCGTAGTTGCTCTTCCTCAAATACCTTGACCAATGGAGAACTTTTGACAACAATACGTGATACAACTGTATTAAAGCATCGTGAGGTAAACAGGCAAGAGGTAACATCTTGGTGGAAATTTTGATTAGGCACTAGCCACATGGTGCACTGGATAAGAAGAGGACATGCTTGGTACCTACTACCTATGCACCCAACTACCACAGTCTACACTCCGGTTTACAATCTATGCTAAACTGTCAAAGGTGACAAGAAAGGTGTGCAATAGTGTGAGTGACCGTACACGTGCCTGTAAAGCAGTTAGAATAAGGGAATGTACCGCTTGGAGTACATGGCACGCTGAAACTATGTTTCATGTGTGTAATCATTGTTTTAATCGAACTGTAGACATGCAATACCTATACAATCCAGAGGTCATTTTCTATAACAACGTTGGTCTGCCGGGTATGGGGTGCACTTGCACACTACACAAATTATTTTTTAATCCTAGTGGTTAATGGCTAAGGTTAGAGAAACCAACCAACCCTCTTATGAGGCCAACACATCCAATGCAACGTTCAACTCATGGTCTTGCGTGAGTTGATCATACGGTATGCAATTTATGAACAAGAGGTATTGTACAGTATGATCACAGGTATTGGACAGTATGTGCACAGCAACATCTAATCGCGGTAAAAAATAACGGTAAATGGCTAGGGTTCTACCACAACAGAGACTTTAGTGAGGCCAACTCTACCGCTGGAACATTCACCCCACGGTCTTTTGTTAAACGAACATACGCGTAAGGCCGATACAATTGTAACACAACATGTGTTGTGCAGATTTTTCGTTGTAAGGGCGGTCACGCAATTGCGTAAACACGAACTAATTACCAGCTGTTGGAACATCTAATACCGGACATAAAAACTGTACACGTTCGCGTATATGACAAACTGTCGTGCTATTGAACAATCCATGGTGCTCGCTCAGGCCGTTAACGTCGGTGTAGACCAATCACGGACCCGGTCTTCTACGACGGTTCGATTTGAGGTTAGTTACAACGTGGCTGAATCTTGGTCGTGTTTTTTAAACTTCCTTGTCGCACTCACACGCAATACAGGTTTCCAGCCAATCAGTAAGTTCCGTGTTAAAAAAACAATAGCGTTCAAACACATCTTCAAACTACGCATCTGCGCAATACTTTGTTCGGAAGCAAAATATCGGAGTGTTGGGTTGTTAGTTGCGGATTGGTGATTGGACTGTCTACGTGTCTCTTCCGTTTAGTTGGATTCGCCACCGTTATTTCTGTTCAAAATCACAATCCAAGCAGGTTGACAATCTCGAATCGTGAGCTTCAGCGTTTTTTATCACCACTCACCATTGTATGCCGCGTGGTCGGAAGCCTCGCAAGGCATTCCGCCTGTTGTTTTGTTAATAAACGACCCGACGAATCGCAGAGTCGCGAATCTCATGTCCGATCGGCTACTGGCCTCGTGCATGTATTAAGAGTTTTTTAACACAAACATTTTGTCCGTTGCAACCTAAATGCCCCAACCTAACATGGTCTGACAAGAACCTTTTTCCGATCTGTTAGAAACCATACACTTCCAGAAGCGTTGCAATATGAAGCTGTTAACAATGACTAATCATGACAGCCACTATTCTACGTGTAGATTTTGCATGACATTGCTCAAATTCCAGAACGATTACCATCCGCATAAACTATCAAGGCTCACCCCACCGTGTGGTACACACCTCCTGCAGCCCTGTGGGAGCCATATTTCTGGGTGCAGGTAGCGGAGTTGTGGTTCGGCCCCAAGCAGGTTCTGCAGCGATAGTTCGCCAGTGGAGCATCCCTGCGCCTGTAGGAAGGGGGGCGGCCAGGACCCCTACGAGTGAACGTAGGAGCATCACACACTCTTTGAGGCACAAGTGTTGTCTGTGCCATGAGGGTGTCGATACAGGTCCCGGGGATGGTGTGGGAGTATGTGCGACGCAAGTTGAATGTGGTGTAGTAGTCGCTGACAAACTCCCACCCGTTCTTGTTGGCCATGGGGAAAAACGCCATGGCGTGTGCGCACGGAAAAGCATACTCTGTCCAATTGCCGCACTCACACTTGCCCTCGCCACGTAGGTCGACGTTGAAGCTTCGTGGGGTAGGGTCCGACGTGTTGCCGTTGTTTATCACCTCCGCCAGGAATTCAATGTTAGAGATTTTCACCTCGTAGTTCTTTGCCCGCTCGCACTTCTCCTCATACCGTTTCCTCCCCCACTCCGTGAAGTATTCATCCCGGGCCCTCGCCTCCTCACGCCGCTCATGGAACTTCTTGACGTTGTAGTCCCACATTGATGCTAACAGATACGCGGGTGGTAGGCGCCGGATGGATTTTACGGCCCCGTTGGTTGACTCCGCCATGTTGCTAGTGTAGATGCCGAATCTCCTCGTTGGTGCCGCACATCGAGCCCACTGCTTCTCGTACACCCAGATTTTGTTCCTTCGTGCAGTGTAGTCACCGCGAAAGCCTGTTCGGACCCGAACACCATCCTCACCGTCCTCCAGGGAGTCCTCTTCCACGACCGTCGCCTCGTCCTCTACCACGCTGGGCCTCTCCTCGCTGTCGTGCCCAGTCGCCGTTCCCGGATCCACGGTGGGAGGCGGAGGGTTACGGGCTGGTGCCGCGGTTGGTGGTGGCTGGCGGGTTGGTGCCGCAGTTGGTGGTTCGACTCCCGAGACCGCAGCTCTCAGCACAATGTTGTCAAAGTTGAAGCACGCGGCAGTTCCGCGCCATCCGCTAGGCACAACGATCGGTGAAGTTCGGCGTAATGGAGGTGGAACTGGCTTGGATGCAGATGGTGCGGTTGTTCCTGCAAGATGGGCTGCAATAGGGACACCAGAATGGACATTATTGTTGTTTGATGTGCGGTACCATTTGAGCAGTTCCTGATGATGTAAAGAAGGCCTTTCATATGTGCGACGTTTTGACCAACATGTGAAGGGTACATGGTGCTTAAAAACGTACCTGGTGCTGTGGATGGGTCGTACGGAGTGGAGGGTGACGGTGATGCGAATGGCCCTGCAGTAGTGGCCGGGCGAGGGGCTGCAGAAGGCCATGGCACGGCGGATGGGCTCGGCGCTGTGGATGATGAAGGCGCTGCGGATGGGCGGGTCGCAGAAGTGGGTGACGGTGCAGCGGATGGGCAGGGCGCTGCGGATGATGCAGGGCAGCGGATGGGCGAGTCGCAAAAGCGGGTGACGGTGCAGCGGATGGGTGGGGCGCTGCGGATGATGCAGGTGCAGCGGATGGGCGAGTCGTAGTAGCGGGCGACGGTGCTGCGGATGGGCGGGGCGCTGCTGACGGCCCTGGCGCTAAAGATGGGCAGAGCGCTGCGGGTGATGCAGTTGCAGCAGACGGCCGGCGCGCAGAGGAGGGAGACGACGGTGCGGTTGGCCGAGTCGCTGCTGATGGGCCTGGCGCTGTGGAATTCGGAGGTGGGCGTCCTGCGCTGCTCTGTCTCTGTCGCTGGCCGGGTCGTCGCGACTGTGATGCTCGAGCTTGCCGCCATGCTTCCGCCGCCTCGGCCGCAATGTTGTTGGCGGTCGCGCTCGTCCGGCGTGTTTGCTGAACGTTGCATCGGCGAATACGAAAGCCAGCTGGTGGAGTGGGGTTTGGCCCCGGCGCGTCGGCCACAGGCGCCGGACCGTAGAGGTAAGTCGTGAGCAAGGGATGTGATTCCCGTGCACCGACCTTGAGCTCGTTGTACTTGTCCAGAGACCGGGCTGTCAAAAGTCGCCATAACATGTCCGCAGAAGTCTTCCCGAACCGCTTCACGTTCTGCTGCATGTGCTTCACCTTCTCTGGGAACACTTCCTTCACCGCCGGGATGAGGCCTTTGTCCCGGTCGCTGATGATGGCCGCGTCGTCTCGTCCCTTCCAGTCTGAACAGTGCTTATCAAAGAGCCGGCAAAACCAAGTCCATGTGTCCTTGGTTTCGCTCTCAACGAGCGCCCACGCGATGGGGATGATCTGCTGATTGCCGTCCATCGCATTGGCGTACAGCAGAGTAGCCTTCTGAGCATGGATCAGGAAAGTCCCGTCCAAGGCGACGACAGGCCTGCACATCTTCAGTGATTCGCGTGTTGCACTAGGCGCCATAAAGAAGCGGAGAAATTTGTGATTGTAAGTCAGTAGCTCCACGGTGGCTCCGCTGTCGATCATCCGAATCCGCTCTTGCAACGCCGGAATGTAGCGGAATGACTCGCACCAGTCACCGAATCGCTGCTCCGTGATCCCTACCTTCAGCCTGCGTAGGTGGAATGTTTGGGTGGTATCGGGACATGAGTGATGTGGTTGCAACAGAGTCGCTAACAGAGACGGTGGAAACGTGTTCGGCATATGACGGGTGTACGCTCACCGGTAAGCATTGTTGTATGTTAACTTCGGACCAGAGCAGGCCTGAATCTGCCTGGCGTAGTCCCAAGGGGCGTTAAATGGCGCTGCACGGACGAAGTTGCCGAATTTCCGCCAAAGGTACTTCCTCTTACGCCCCATACCCGGCCACCACCGGGTCCGGTAGACACGGTCGCATGTGTGCTCTGCGGGATCGGACAGCTGTACGATTCGACACGGTCCGTTTCGCTGGAGGCGAGCATAGCTGCACCGCCATGGACAATCCGGCTCCAAACCAAGCTTCTGGCTCTTGCACAACGCTAGCGCCGATGCCTTTCTGGTATACTTCATGTAGAAACCGTATTTATGCACTACCGCATAATCAAGCAAGGCAAAGAGGCAATGATCCTGCGAGGAGTACCAGTTACCCTCCTGAATGGTGGCGTTGTCATTGATAGTCGGTCCCTCCTCGGGTTCAAACTCTATGTCGAACTGCTCTATGATGATGTCATACATATCACGGCCATTAGTCGGAGGTTCCTCCATTGTGGATCTGCTACAACACCAATGTTATCCCATCGCAATATGTAGGTGGGTAACCGCTGCCCGGGTTTATTAACGGCGCGAGCTGAACCCTGGCCTGAACGACACCGAGAACTGCATCTGGTGATGGTGTAGCATGGGCTCGAAATCACAGCTAGGAACAACAACAATTTTGAGCGCGATGAAAAAAATTCACGAGAGCAAAGCCCGCGCCGCGGTAATTCTCAAATAAAAGTGACTTTCCGCATACCAATGTAGAAAATGAATACCAGTGAACAAATGTCACGGAAATGTTGCAACACCATAAATACCGGCCAAGGTCGCACCGCACTCAACTGTATACTCATAAGACATGCGCCACGACCAGGGTTTCGGAGCGCATACTCGACATTGCAACAACCATCTCACCAAAGAGCCGCAAAACAACGCTGTACGCCATACATTTTTAGCATTTTTAGCAACATGGGACACGGATTCTACACATACAATTTCGAATGCCACAACGTAGTTTAGGGCTTTCAGTGATTCTTCTTTAAAATACAAAACCACACCATTCACAAACAAAACCAACAAACGCAGACCCCATGGAAACCGCATACTGTTAACCAACTATGCAGTCCGCCCTACACATACCAATACTCGAAACCACAACCCTAACACCTTGATAGCAAACACCACCGCATCACCAGCCCCAATAATGGGCTAACGGTAGTACACATAATCCGCCAACAAAAACTCCAACAATGCTGTTGCTTGAAACATCCAGAACCAACACACCTCACGCCAACGACGACCCTTCGTCCGGCGTCACGACGGTGCGGGATCGCTTCACAGGAGTCCTGGACAAACGGCTTATCACCTCCTGGTTCAGCGCGCCATCTTCTGCCGGCACAGCTGCTGGGGGTATGCCGAGCACATCGGCATGGCGTGTGTACGCGTGAGTGACGGAACGAATAACGCGCCTGCGGCTACGAGGGTCGCGCATTAGTGGGCCTTCGGGTATGCACATCTCCCCTCCACCGCCACTAGAACCGCTGGGCACTGGCTCAAACTCGATACCCGCCGCAAACGTCCCGTGCAGGTATCCCATAATGGGCGCCCACGTGTCCGGAACACATCCAGCACGCCACCAGCTTCGCTGCATGGTCGCACTTGAAACATGCTGCCATGCCTCTCCAATCCAGCGCAGCATATTGTAGTTATCCACCACCGCAAGCGGCGCCGAATATCTGTGCTGACACGCGCTGGACCGCAAAGCCCTTCGCATGAGGAAAACACGGTACTGCGCTTTGAACGCATCAACAACACTGTTCATGTGAGGCATGCACATGGCGGGAACGGCGCCAGACACGTTCACAAACCGCATACACAGGAGTTGCTGCACTGGAAAGCCGTGCTCCATGGTCGGCGGGGATACGGGCGCGGTGATGCGATGCCCATCGTTGCACACGAGAATGACAACTCTTCTGTCCTTGCTGAAATGATCGTCGTTTATCTCATCCATGTACTCCGTGAAGATCTGACCACAAACACAGCACGTGGTACGAACTTTCATTAGACTATCGCGCCGACGTAGACCAACACATGCTCCACCACGCTCCCACGACACGAGTTTCAGTGCAAAAGCTCTCACGTACCTCGGGGGTCAATCTTCTGCTCTTCGTGTAGCGGACGACCACCTCTAGTTCACCCGACCTGCTCCCGCTGCTTTCGGGGCGCTCATCCGGCCGCAGTACGACGAGAGGCAACGCAGTGCAGTTGCCAGCCGCGTGTTATGACGTGCTCACCGCATATGAGACTACGGGGATATTCCTGAAGGGACCACTTCGGCAGCCGCGAAGGAAGGAAGTGTAACAATGTCAAACGCATATCCACGCAAACGCAATCGAAACGAACGGTATATCACACACCACTAAAGCAAACACCACAACATTACAACAACCCTCTACAACCACACGAACAGACCTACCTCGATATCCAACGCACTGCACACCTGTGGAGCTATATAATGACATGACGCGTTGCAATTGGCCAACCCGATCTGACAGTAAGCCATCCACGCATATATTAACCATCCCGTTAAGGGTTGCGGAAAAGGGTTAAACTGATACTTGTTATGTTACACGAGTTGTTCAGTTCGGCTGGTTTTACCTAAACCATTATCGCGTTCTAGAATGGTATGCCTTTCCATTGATGTGGCGAGATTGAGAACTGTGGTCCTGGTTTGCGGGTCTGTTCTGTTCTCAAACCGCATATATTGGCCAACCCGATCTGCCTGTTCCATGCACCACTCTCAAGATGCTTTCCACCTCCACTACGGTGTATCTGCCTTCATCTCGTCTGGGGCACAGCTGCTTGCATGTGGTGAGCGGACACTGTCCAACCTCCTCGTAATAACTCAGGTACACGAACGCCTTCCTAGTACCATCTTCGTCTGTTGTGGTGAAGATGCGCAGGCATTTAGCGTACCACTCTCCTTTGCATGTAGAATCCATGACTGCCACGTCCGAGAACCATTTCTCTCTCGGAGATGCCTTGACGAACGTCACTTTGGGTACTAACGCGCCTCCGCGGGTCTGTGGAATGGCCAGAGCGTTGTGCACCTGCATACAAAACAGAAGCTCACTCGCATGTCACTTCATCCAGTTAGGATGAATCTCATGCATGGTCCGCGGTTGCGCTTTAGAACATCCAACAAAAGTGACATAATTCAAAATCTTACCTGCACAGAAGCCTCACTCAACCCAAAGTGCTTTAAGTTCGGCACTCATTAACTGCATCTCCTCACCCAATGCACAATTGTACTCCGCCATTACTGCATCGGGTAGACCGCAAACCCGCATTGCCCGAAACTTCTTGGTCAGCACTAGTTCCTTGGTGCGAGCGGCCTGCCATCAATACCCAGGACCGGGATTGAATATGGTTAATTTCTCCAAGAACACGCATGACATCGCCTTCACCCACTTTGCACCCCTCCTTCCACTTTACACACCTCACGCAAGGCAGACACATATTGCCGACCACCGCCCGCATCCGCAGCCACTTCTTTAAAAATCTCGCGCTGCACATCTTCTTCCACAATTCTTCGAGGAATGTCCCTCCAGTTGCTCCCCCGCACGGGTGTCTTCACTGTGCTTTTGTGCGTCCTCTCCCACATTTCAGTGTCGTAGTGGTGAGGCATCCCACGTGTCACGACATTCTCTAGCAGGTGTTTTATCATGTGCACCTTTGGCAGCTCCCAGTGTGACTTCTGAGTCTTGAAAGCCCTTGGCAGCAAATCCACGAGCCTGTGTGAAAAGGGCGGGTCAAATGGACCAATACTCCACACATTAGTAGCACATGTGTCCACGCCACAATACGAGAAGGCGTGACCCATTAAAAGAAGTTGACATCAGAGAGCACATGACAGATACTTACTTGATAACGTCTTGTCTTGCAATAGCGAGAGTAGTATGGGTGTGCGAATCCACACCCAAGAAGGCTTTGTAGAAAACCGCATACATGCAGAAAGCGCGGACCTGAAGCGCACGCAGCTCCCCAGCCGCATCAGTCTTGGTAGCATATTGATCCGCTATCAGTATTGACACGATTTGCATCATGCTCCGGTGCTCGAATGCCGCGTAGTTTGCGCCAGATCGGAAGAACGAGTTGCCACCAGGTACACGAAGTAGAACGCTCGGCGTGTCTCGTTTCACCTCCTTTTTGCGCCTGCATTTTACACAATAGCGATAACAATAACTTTTACCGATGTTAACGTAAGAGTGGTTAATCAAAGTCCGACCACTCTGACTGCGCGTCCCTGAAAACCCCACTCACCTCTCCAAAACACGCATTTCAGCCTTGCCTAGCGTTGACAGGAATGCTTCCATCATGTGGATGAACACCCCAGAGTCCATGACGTGCAACGTGTCGGCGAGGCAAGCCAGGTAAACATTTCCCCATTCTGTGTCTGCGAAAATCCATCGTTGCAGGACGCACTGAGCACAACGGCAACAAATAAGTCAACAGCATCAGTCACGAACCGTGCGAATGACCACGATGTAACAACATGCATAAGGTACACCCACCTCTATAGGATGTGTTGACCATGCACTCCTGATTTTCTTGGCGTCCTTCTTTTTCTCACATGCCAGTATTCTGCGAACAATCACGCGCTGCTTGTGCACTGTCCTTGGATCAGTTGTGCCAACCAGGCACGTGAGCTCACCCTCCTTAGCGTAACATGTGGTACAAGGCCGATGGGTGCCCTGTTGAAGCGTCGCAGACGCTCTGCATGACTCTGGAAAGTCGCCAGGTATACCAAAGAGGCAAGGGGTCGCTTTTATGGCGCCACCCGATGTGTCTGCCACATAGAAGAACCTTATCGGAGTGCTGCACGTATCAAAAATCCAAGACCAGGTACATGGTTTTCAGAGGTCAGTTTGCAGGATACAGATATGTCAGTATGCAATTTGCAATATGGCATGGAGTGAATATACAGACTGCATGAGAAATGTAATGCATACCTAGCTACAATGATCTTCATTGCCTCCTGGAAGACCCGCGTTTTCTCCGTAGATGACGCCCATTCAGGTGGGACGGCAGCACAGCCGCTAGAGTGTGACAAGGTTCTAGCCACCGCAGCTCCTCTGGGATGTTCACGAGCGTAATCAGCACAGGCCATGCATTACGCCTTCCGTTCCCGGACGCCTGGGTGATGTCGCTGCATACGATGACTCCCAAAATCAGTGCACTATCGTCGTTCACCTCGCGCTGAACATGAACGCAAATCATCAGAGATTATTCACAATAGATACCAACTACTAAGGGCCCTTTCAACCAGTGAACGTTAAAGCAAATAACAAACTTAATACCTGTGCTGCATGTATCCACTCCCCCGTTTCTGGTCCTTGGTATACGCGTTGCTTGCTCTCCTCGCAGCTGGGAGTCGACGGTTTGGTGATAAAACCTTCCTTCCCGATGAAGGTGCGTACTAATTTCTTCACGATCTGAAACGCAGAGTGAGGAACCCAATGGCTATGCGTAAATCCGTAAGAGAACCTGGATAATAGTAATGAAAGTACATATGCCAGTACAGCTTACCATCTCTGTATCACGATAATGAAGCAGCAGTTTCTTTTGTATTCCTTTGGGGCCGAACACTACAATCTCCTCTGTTTTCCAAGGCACCATGTCCGGTGGTGCACGGGCCTTACCCCAGCGCCTCACATCCACATAGTTGCGCCATCGGCGGAGGGCCCTGAGGTTGAACCTCGGGTTTCTGAAAATGTTGAGCAGACGATTAACTTCCCTCTGAGATAAATCGGCATCCCGGAAGAAAATATACAGCTCCGTCAAAGTATCAAACACTTCATCATCGTCCGAAACCTCTGAACAGGTGGACACGTCATCGTTTGCCTCGTGATCCATTGCCGGATCGCTCCCTCCCCCAACTTGTGGGGAAGCGTCGTTGGGAGGCGGGGAATCACGCCTCGCCCTAGAACGAGGTGGACTGCTCTGCCTGCGCCCGCCATAACAATCTCTGGCGTGAAGGTATGCGTCCAAAAGAAGCGCGTCTAGATTTCTTTTAAGCTTTTCTGAGCATATATCTTTATTAGACAGATGAGACTGCAACGCGTTGTCGTCCTTAAAAACGGTGCGGCAAGCACCGCATCTGTTGCCAGTCATGCTAAGAACCGCAAATGCTAAACGAGATAGTATGCGATATGTTGTACTCCTACCCTGTGCGGGTATGCGTTTTACTTACCTTCAAGTGCTTATTGTTGACAGTTTACGAGTTGGTTGGACGATGTAGCTTTGTCCCATTGGTCGCTTGGATTGCGTCCAACCAAACACCTGTCAGAGGTCCACTGGTGATCCCCGATTGATCCTAGGGAAGGGTTACAGGCTCGTTGTCCTGGGGGGTTATGGGCGCACTGACCCGCTACTTAACAAGCCCTTTTATCCCAATGGTATAGTGGTTGGGATTCTGACATGGTATCAGAGGGAAGGTCTCGGGTTCGAATCCCAGTGTGTGCACTTCGGGCATCCCAGTGCGGGGGGGTGTCAGAGGTCCACTGGTGATCCCCGATTGATCCTAGGGAAGGGTTACAGGCTCGTTGTCCTGGGGGGTTATGGGCGCACTGACCCGCTACTTAACAAGCCCTTTTATCCCAATGGTATAGTGGTTGGGATTCTGACAACACCAATGCCTGAACTACTTAATTTAATTGTTTACCGCATACAGCACGCGATCCCAGATTTGCCTCGGATGTGACCACCACCAGTTATGGGGCGCTTGAAATCCATCTTATTGATCGACTACAACTAGTCAACATGAATGTACGGACTCGTGTTACCGCGCAATGTTACATCGAGTACTTTGTGATTGGCCTGGTGCAGGAAACAAACACTGCGATTCAATTATAGCTAAAACCGCGTATACGTCGACTGTACTATTGTGTAGCGCGCAATCAATTTTCGATTACGATCAGGCATCGCATACGAGATGTACACTGGATTCGAGCTGCAGCAAAAGGTCCTGGTATTATCGCGCCCACCAGCGTTTGCGGAAAACCCTCGCTGACCTACATTTGTCTTTGATTCGACCAATCAGCATGCGCCCCATTGCATGCTGTGCGATAAGCTGATAGATCCTTGCTTATCACAGCAGGCAACACCTTAGCGAAATTGCCTTCGGGTCAGTAGCCCTTGTCACACTTGCCCATTTCCAGCATTTAGTTCTCCGAGTGGTGAGAGCTGAATTTAGGGTTTCTATGAAGACTGTGCACCCCTTGCCGTGCTGCACCGCCAAGCCTCTACATCGATAGTAGGGCGATCCACCGTGCTTAAGTAGTCGCGCCAAGGCTACGCTATCCACGTTCTAGTCGCGTCTGCTTTTTTCATCGGCGATATGGCAATAACTAAGCAAATGGCAAAGAAAAACGGTCAACGCATAGGCAAGGGGACGAGGGAGATCTCAGTCGACGACGTACGTGAAACCCGCACTACGCGATCTGCGACGAAGACAGCAGATAGTCTTAAAAAGTTTGTGACACCGCTGCGCGTAAAGGCAGAGGAACCAGAGCCGGCGGACGCAATTTCGCGCATCATTCATAGTAACAATACATCTGATTTCCCGGATCTGGAGGTGTTTAGCCACCGACGCTTGTGTAGCGTGATTAAGAAACACGATGCGGTTACCATCGCCGACGGACAGTGGGTGTCCGATGCGCTGATAGATTTTCACAACACGTGAGTGAATCCGGGCACATGTCTACGATGACTATAATCGACACATCATAGTCTGTTGTTTACTCCACTTTTTAACCACAAATGAGCGTCTTCCCCCGCAGATTGCTGAGCATCCGTAAACCAAAGCTGAGCAACGGGAAGACATGGGGAGTGTTGGACGCCAAGGCGTTCACGTATACCCTATCATGGCAGAAGGCTTTGGATTCCGGAGCGGGACTACCCTTTCTGGAGCATGACTTCCTCACGATCCCTGTATATCTGAAGTAAGAATCTACCTGCCTTGCCGCTTTTCCGTGGGGTTGAAATACTCGTGGTTGCTCAACAAAACGAACTGATGTTTCTTGCAGGAAACACTACTCATTGGTGATTGTGTGCGAGCCATCACGGATCTTCAAACCTGCCAAATCTGAAGATAATGCGCCGCTTGACATGGTGCTGTATGACAGCGCCCTCTCCCGCACTGATGCGGCGGCAGTGTTCGGCGGCTGTAAACTGTACGTTGTGTTTTCGCCTTTTCAAGATCCTGTCTGGTTTGTATTATACGGCTAACATTGGCACTGGTACTACACAGGGTTCTGTCAGTGTTGGCAAAAGAAACCCATCCTCACGTGGACACGGAAAATGTGGACATGGTGCTGAAGGAGGCCAACTGCATCGTGCTTGGGGTGAGGTCTTTTACGCTTGTTCTGTCAAACCCACCTGTATCGAAATGACATACTTATCCATCTTGTGGGTGCATGCGTTGTGATGTGAGCAGGAAGATCAGTGCCCCTAGCAGCCAAACTCATACGATTGCGGTGTCTTCGTGTGCCACTATCTGAAGAAACTAGTTGAAACAGACTTCGCAAAAGTGTGCACCGGACTATGGTTCAAGGGCGTCAGTTCCCTGCAGTATCGACGGTTCATGCAGCAGGACATTTGTGAGCACGCCGGCGGAGCCCTTCTTCCAAAAATGGCAGTGGCGGGAGTCGAGATCCCTTTGTAGGAGCGCGAAGCCGACCCCGTCAAGTTTGCGGTTTTGCAGGACAAAGCCAGTCAACAGGCACCGACGGTCGAACAAGTGCAAGCAGAACTGCAGTCCACGAAGCTAGAAGTGGCACTGCTTGATGCGGGGGTCGCGGTGTTGGCCCATGTGTTGGGCTACAAGCCGGAACAAGTGCGAGCAGCCGCAGCACAACTCCTACATGACGGTGGCGCCAAAGGTATATGCATCCCTGAAAGCAGTCGCACGAAACATGCACCTACCACACCTCAGCATTGTTCAGGGTTTGTGAAACTGGGTGTGGGGAGTCCTGAAGACGCCGTTATGAGTTCGGATACGCGCGTGGCATTAGATGCCAAGTTTACGGGGGTCGGTCTGCAGATTCCGGAGTCAGAGGCTCCAATGCCGCAACCAGGTACAATACTGCACTGGGTGATCTCCAAACAGCCCCCGTCGTCGGTTCAAGGCATCCCCAACTCGACGGATGCATATGGCATTCACCGGTTTGGTGTGATGTCCAGTGTGTACAAGAGCAAGGAGGCTGAAAAACCAGCTCACATCGAGAACGTTGGGGAGGGAGTCGATGACGATGATCTCGACACGATAACGTACACTGGGGTTGCGATAGAGAAGGCTACTGGGAAGTGGGGGGCGAAGATATTGGCTTGGGTTGACGGTCAGCAGCGGCAGCATCGGCTAGGGGCGTACACAAGCAAAAAAGAGGCAGCAACCGCGTTTGCTGCAGCTGCCTTTGTCCTGCGTCCGGGGGAGGAGATTGAGAACACCATACCCCTGTTAGATGCACAGAAGGCGTTGCTGAAGGGGTGCGACAAGGATGCGGTAGTGGCGCTCGTGGGAGCGCGCATGTGGTGGCGGTGGAAGAAGTGGGGGAAGGTGATGGAGGAACTAGCTGCGAAGGCAAAACGTGCGAGGAAGTCACCGGCATCGCACACGCGGGGAAAGAAGAGGAGAGTGGATGGCGTGGGGGCAGGTGGCGGGGTTGAAGAAGCGAAGTGTAGTGTTGGTGCGGGAACATGGCAAACTGAGCCTGTTGGTAATGCTTAAGAAGATATCAAAGACAATGAAGCGCAGTCAGCGGGAGCCTGGGTCAGACAGGATGGTGATGTGGGTGATGAGGGCGAAGAGGGGGATGAGGAAGGTGATGGTGATGAGGGTGACGAGTGTTATGAGGAATACGTTGGTGAGGCGTCTGGTGAGGTTGATGGATCAGAGTAGGATAGGTAGGTCCGTGCTAATATGTTTAGTTGGTGTGTGTTTTTGCGCCCCAAAGGTTGAGTAGGTTGATGTATTCGTTCATGATTTTGTGTACCGTATTCTAGCTCCAATGGAAATGTGGAGTGCGACCATGTAATGTACTGATGTGACATCATGAAACATAGTTGGCTTAGTACTTTTATTTTTTATTAGTGTCTAATTTTGGTATGCGGTAACTGGAATCATCTGCGCGGCAAACCTACAGGGAAGATACATGCTAGCCTCTCGGACCGTTGCTCGAACGTTCAATCCTTTAGGCCGATGTAGCATTGTTTCATTGGTCGATAGGATTGCGGTAATCCGGACAACAACGTGGTTTCTGAATACCTGGGTTGTTTACCGCATACACCCCGGGGAACTTTGTTCTCACGACGATGTTGATAAGGTGTTCATGAGAAGTTGTTTTCCATCATGTTGTCAACACACTTTCGACAATGGAAAACTCCATTGCCTCTCAGAACACCGAGACAGCTGGAAGATCCCGCAGGGCGACACAGGCGCCGGCGTATTTGAGGGCGTCTTATCTCCTGGCCGCACCAAGGGGTCGTAATGCACGGGGTCCTCGTGGTTCTAACCTCCCTAAGAAGCTTAATTTTGCGAGGCTGAAGAAGACTGCAACATATGTGGATGATGGTATGCGGTTTTTGAGTTATTATGTCCAAAGTCAATTCTGCCTGTGGGATTGGTGACGTATACTGCATACTACATTGCGTTGTGCTGATACGGTAAAACAATACTGCGTGTAATATAATCTCCCACTGGTTGTTTTTCATAAGAAGCCGAGGGTATTGAGACCACGGAGGTGACTCAGCAGCGCGACTTGTCTGATGGCGAAGAATCCGAATCTGCGCAGTCGGCGAGCAAGGGCGACAGTGATGAGGGGCACGCAAAAACCAAGGCAGTCGAACAAGTTTTATATGGAGCGCCGACTGCATCCAAAGGGGGCAACGATAAACCCCCTGAGATGGAAGAAAATGACCCGCTAGTTGCTTTGCGCGCATCGCCCGAGGGGTCACTAAACCCCACCGAGCAGTGGCTAGGTTGGAAGAAATGTTGCTGAACGCTTTGGCAAAGAGTCCTATCGGGTCTCGTTGTCGGAAAGCGGAGAAGCAGAGAGATCCGGGACACGGCTGTGCTAACCCGAAACGTCGCCGTGTCGAGTCTCGCAGCGCCGCATCCGAAGGCGACGAGGACGACGAGAGTGATGATTCGCGTCGGCACCATATGAGGTCTTCGAGGTCGCCTGTTCTGCAGAGCGCTCTAGATCTGCTCCCTGCTGACAAGGTGTGGAAGTTGGGTTGTCTTTGGTGATTGGATTGGTGCACATCTTTCGTGGGCGTGTTTATTGTATTTTTTTTTTGTTTTTTTTTTTTTTTTTGTGGAGGTGCTATATGGATCATGAGGGATACTGTCCTTTCACGCGAGACTTTTGTTGCCGTGTTTTGTTCTTCCCATATTTATATTCGATGTGCAGCGCATGTGCGATCTCGTGAGAATCTACCTGTTTATGAGCAAGCCGTACGCAACGATGACATTTTACCCAAGCAGCGATGACAAAACCGGCGGAGTGTGTGCGGTTTTGGACCGTCTGCCCTACAGCTACGCATGTCTGGCTCTAGCTGCAGACAAGTCACGTCACGCGGACTTGAACAAAACTCTGAGCGAATGGAAGACCCGTGCTGCAGGGCGAGTTCGTGATATCGCGCTTCCTAAGCTCGGGTTGTTCCGAGACGACAGAGATGCTTCGAGTCCTTGGGCACCAGAGAAGGAGCGCAGCGCAGAGAAGATTCGTAGGCGCATCGGTTTGGCGGGAGAGGGTGAAGGTATGTGGCGGGTCTTGTTGTGTATTACGTGCCTAGGGGTGCGACACTGATTTTTTTAGCATGTGTGTGGACACTATGTTGCGGTGTGTGCAGAAACTCTTGCACTCTCCAATTGGAGCAATGACCGCCAGGGAATGCCCTTTGCATCGGCTGCATTTGTTGTGTGCGCCAAGGCCGCCTTCAAGCCGAAAAAGCCTGGAGATCCTCTCACGCTGAATCTGTACCACCTGGCCTGGCTCGAGCACGTGGTGAGTGTGCGCGCTTCAATTTGAGCTTGTATTCATACACTGCAGGCTCACTCTAGTTGGTTTCCATTCAATGCAGGTCACCGACAGTGTGATGTTTTGGGAGGCGCGGAAAGGGCGTCTTTCCAACTCTGCTGGTGGCAACGGCCACGTCGTTAATGGGCTCAAGGTTCTCGCCAAGGGAGCTGTTGAGAGGGCAATTGGCGTCTTCAACCCGGAGTGGGATGCCGAGCGCTACGCATGGATTTGGGGCCGCCATGGTTTGCGTGTCTCGGCTAGTGGTCTCGAAGGGCTCAGGCCTGCTGGCGGATTGGCGGATGATGAACCTGCTGGTGACGAAGAGCAGTCTGTTTCCTTTGGTGATGAGTAGCGTCGATTGTTTTCATCCATTCGTCGCAGTGGGGTGGTTAGTTGTGATGTTAGTGTAGGCTGATGTTCGGGTCTACTTGTGTGCAGGTTGTTTGTGGTGTGTCCTTTGCGGTTTGAGAGAGCGGTATGCGGAAATGATAGGGTATAGGTTGTGGCTTGTTGTATTCTATTGTGTGGAGTTGGCTCATAGTATTCAATTTCACATCTCATAGCACCCAACCAGCACTTTCATAATGCATTGCGGCTGATGTTTTTGCGGAAAGCGGGTTTTACGGAAATGGCTGGGGCGACCGTGTCGCGCCGGTAAATGCGGCGTGATTGACGGGGCAAATCACGGCGCATTGAATAGGCGAATCACGGATGTTCGATAACAGTGTTTGTGAAGGATCCTGACGACTGTGACGTTTAGTGATGCACATTGGAGCCGTTGCTTAGGATTTGACCATGCGCAGTTTAAGGCCATTTGTCTGCATAGCAGTGGCTGATAATGGCGATGGCGGCGCGTTGTTAGTGGTCTGCGGTGCGCAGTTGTGGCTTGTACTGATTGGGTGGAAGTGTATCGTGTTGCACGGTCCAGATGTTGTCGCGCATCATGTAGCGATGCACACGAATGCACGTTGGCGAGCATGTAACGCACAGCACGAATGCGAGGGCGTGTGACACGTGGTGCGTTTTGAAAGCGGTATAGCGCATACCTCACGTGGCTGTTATGCATATTTGAATGGCTGCTGGCGTCTGAAGATTGGTGCATTTGTGCGCTGTCTTTGCTCTGGTTATGGTTGCAGGTAGCGCAACGTGGCTTTCTGGTATTGGATACGGTGCGTCGAGATGAATGGGTGAGATGCGTTGTGGTGATGGCTGCGACCGTGGCGAGATGCGGTAAGCGAATGTGTAACTGAAAGTACGAGATTGCAAGCGGACGACACCTGGAGAGCTTGGATTGCGTTTTCGGGTCCCAAATCGGACGGCGT